TAGCTTACTGCTACTATTAGACACTGCGCCCACTCTGTTGCCAGATTTGAGAGAAATAAGCAACCAGGTCTATGAAAACAAGCCCAAAAGAAGCAACACATACATGATGTTGTGTAATTTTAACCCAAAACTAAGGCCTCAGGATGACTTTAAGACGTGAATATGGTCATTTTTGTTTTGTAACATTAAATAAAATGTATAAAAATATTTTATAAAAAAAAAAAAAAAAAAATCCGATCCCCGATTTTTTTCTCCCGATCCCCGATCACGTGAAAATCACGTGATCGGCTCCGATCCCCGATCACGTGATCGGATCGGGACATCCCTAGTGACATGACAACATTTATAGTTTGTTGGATTGTCTTTTATGTATAACATTGCAAATATAAGAGTACTCTAATTCATTATGTACTGTGTGTTTAGCTGAGTTTTGATTGAATTGGCTACAAACGTTTTTTAGCCATCTTTTGAAAATAATTGAATTTGTACCAAATGCAGAACCTATTCAATGGCGCTGTTGAAGAGTCATTTCTAATCACATGTAGTGCAGATAAGGACACCTCGTGCTGAGCTTCAAAATGAATCTGCAGGATATTTTCTTGGTTTAACAAGTTGGTAACTTGCCATAGATTCCCAGAGTTGATTAGTGCTGCTGTTTCTTTCTCTGCTGCGCTGAGATTAGACACTGTCTTCCATTTCCAAGTCCCTCTCTCTCTCGTTCTCTTATCTGTTCTTTGTTTGTCGTCCCTCTCTTTTGTCTACTTGATTCAGCATAGCATGGTTACCCCTCATCTTAACAGTAGTATCCACAGAAACTGCTTTGACTACCAATCAAACCTTTTGCCAAAGTTTAGGGTCTAGAAGTACAACTAATGAGTAAATAGCTTATTCTATAAATGTGTTCAATCATTGCCATTGGGGGACACCAAATTGTTCAGCTTGCAAATGTTGGTATACCTTAGAGTTATACAAAATACACTATGTATCACAACCTCAGCAAGCTTAGCCTTAGACTGATCAAATCTGGCAGATAAAGAAAAAAGGACACACATTATATTTTAACAGAAATGATAAAGTGTTGACCAGTTGCAGATAATGCAGTATTTGTTGTTATTTTGAAACAGAGACTCTGAATATTCTGACTAGTTTGTTCATGGTTAACCATTCATTTTGGCTGTTCAGCCATGCTTTTCTTGTTTTCCTTGGAATATTTCTGTTAAAGTACAGCGCTGACACTGTCAACACCACGGAACACAACTATTTTTGATATTTAAGGAGGAGTTGAGGTGAGACACAGTAAAACATTATTTGTAGATGAGCTAGATTTTGTGACTACTAGAGATGGTAACTGCTGATTCATTGGCCAAAATAAGTATAAAATGACTAAGACACATATGTTCTTCTGAAGGAAAACATGACGTGTGTGGTGTGCTCAAAACTTTGAATTAATTAAGAGATTGATGTGATCCGTAGTTATTTAAAGACTGTATATTTCGTCTAGCATCATTCTGAGTGCCCCTCAGCACTCGGTGGTAATTCTTGTGCATATGTATCTGCATGTCATTTCCTATTTTTTGTTTCCTCAGATTGTATCTCTCTCTTAGTGTTACCCTTCCTCCATGGAGAGCACAGGTTGCTGTGAAGTAGATCCCAATAGTTGATGAGGGGCATTTGTTTGTGCTTGCGTACGTGATGGATTTTAGCAGTGAACTCACATTGTATCTATGGAGATAACTGCCAAACATGAAACTTAATCTGGGCTGTAAAAATGTTAATATTAGTGAGGCACGACCCGTACTGATGTAGAAAACATAACAAAATACTGAAGCTGCTTGGGGCCTTTAATGTTTTTTGGAAAGAACATGCTGGATCAGATTTATCTATTAAGTTGTCCGTTTATTTTGCCCCTCAAGCTAATTGTAGCTACCGTAGCACCCGAGCAACAACATAAACTGCCAGTTCTAAGGCTGGAAACAAATACATGGATTTGTACTTCACAAAATAACGAGCATGTATTGCACATTAAGCGACTTTCCCAAAAAATAATTGTAACAACAATAGCCTAGGATAATGCCTCCCAGTACACAATCACTAACAATGAGCTCAAACAGAGCCCCTCATCCATCTCCTATCAGTGCCATTGATTGGCGTTTCTTTGTTAGTAGGTTATTAATTAATGGCACATTTTGCCTATCCTGTCAAAACAATTCTTATGAGGTTGAGGGATGACTAATGTATCTCTCTAGATTTAAGGACATGCAGGTGCTGGTGATTGTAACGCTCATTATCTTCATTAACTTTTAAATGTTGGAATATTTACATACACTATCAAGGATGTTGCCACTGGTCTCCCCCCCCCACCCACCAACGATTCATCAGACATGATTGCGTGATTAACCCGTTTAATTTTTGCTGACAGTGGGTTTTATGTGTGCAATGATTTCACCTACTGCTACGTGCATGATGTGGCCACTAATTCATTTTTTTACTTCAGGCTACACAACCAATACAATCTTACAATAAGCATAAATCATCAAAAGTCATTAAAGATGTAAAAAAAGACCGTGTTCTTCCCAGAATACAACATACAAAAAATCATGGCTAACGCACAGTATAATAGCCCTTAAGAGACATTATTCACAATCATATGTGACTGAAACTTGGCAAATAAATGATTAAAATCCAAACAGATTAAGGTACTTCTCATGTTTTTCCAATTTCTTCTCTCTCATGACCTGTGTAGGAAGATTTTACTCCACTCGCCAATCATTCCCATTCCCTGCAGCATGTGGATGCACAGGCTTGGATAATGAATACAAATACTCTACCCTACTCACTATAAGTGATTGCTACTTAAAGTGATAGAAAATCAGTGCACATCTGGTTAATATCAAATTATCCTCACCCATCTCTAACAGTTTCAGGCTTTTCTGCACTATTTTCTTCAAGCTGGGAACATGATAGAGTTTTTGACTTAGTCAGGAAGAAAGAGAATAGCAGCATCTAAAGCAGGAGACATAAAAGACATGCAAAGATTTTTGCATGATTTTTTAATATTGCCAGAAGCTAAAATGTTTCAACATGAAATTGAAGGGAAACTGTCTTACGTCTTAATTTAAATGAAGATGGGTTGGTTAATAACATAAAAAAGCAGTTATTTAAGATTGTATTTTTATTTTGAGTTTCCAATTACTTGTTTTGCAAAGGAACAATTAGCCATTCCACCAGCGCTGCAGAGAGCTTTGATGGATGACAGGCTTTCATCCCATTGTTGGTCTTTTTCTGAATAGCAGGACCATTTTCTGTGTATCATGGTGACTTGTAAATACTTCTTCTAATGGGTATGGTGCACATGTGCGTGAATGTGTGTGTGTGTTACAAATAGAAAAAAGATATCAAGTGGGAGAAAATATGAAAAGTTTATTAAGCCCCTCTCAGAAGCAGAAACATCGGCTTAGGCTTTTTATCAGTGCTCTGTATAACAGGCAATAAAATACAAATCGGATCCAGCTGATTACTGGCAAATCATCACCGAGCCACTTCAAGGCAGTATTGGAGGCATTGTGCAGGATACACAAACACACACACACACACACACACACACACACACACACACACACACACACACACACACACACACACACACACACACACACACACGTCTTTGTATCCCATCACCATAACAACTGCCTCACAGAACATCTGAAAAAAAGAGAAAAGCCAAAGGGAATTTCTCTCACTCAGTTTGACTTGGAGATGGTGAGAGGAGCGGTCGGCAGCTCCCCGCAGCATGTCAGTGTGGTGTGTGTGAACAAGAGGCAGGCGGGCTGCAGATGACTTGGTGTGAAGAGAAAGGGAGGATATGATGTGCAATTCGGAAAGTGTAGGGTGTGACTTTTAAGAGCGAAGGATTTACAATGATGCCGCACATGGTGAGTATTGAACATGGCAGCTGCAATCTGTTGTCATTCTTGCATGTGAGTGCACATGTTTGTACGTGTTTATGAAGTAATGAAGTTGTGTGAAATGTATTTGTACATGTGTCCAGAGGCTTTTGAACATGTGGATGTTACGTAAGGACTGACGCTGAAAAACAGCGAATGCAATAGTAATGAAAGTTTTCTGCTTATTTGGTATACTGCAGATATTGTGTAGTTAGATCCTTGGGATACCTATTAGGTTATTAATCATGTTTTCATTGTTATTGTATGTGTTCAGTGTCAAACTATAAGGTAGTAGATTTGTTTTAATAATACCTCTTTTTACTCCATGTCTTTTATAAGTACAGTACATAGTTATTAGATAATTTCTGCGCTATAATATTTTTTCTCAGCCCAGGATAGATTGTTGCCTTGACACTTCAGGCTATAGTAATCTATTATGAAATGTTAGTGCTGGTACCTTGCTCATAGCTTCATTTTTCACTCTATACTCTACAGGCTTACACCCATCAGCAGAGGTGATGAATATGTTTAATCAGAAGTCACAGAGGAAATTAAGTGTTGATGTGTGTGAGCACAGTATGTGTGTGTTAGGATCTGGGTTGGTAGAACCTGCACACAGGTTTCTGCTTGGTGTATGAACATGATTTTAAACATCAGTGTTAGACCCAGTGTTGTAACAATGTTGCTTCAAGGTACTGTAAAGTATTCTACCCATAATGCTTAAACTACAATTGTGATGTTTGCTCACAATCTCATTTTCTACACATTACCATCCAAAGGAAAGCTCTTTCAGATTTCTACGTTACCTCTCTTTTCCTTGTCTCTTTTGGTCCATCCTATAATAGCTTATACACGTACTGCACATGGTCCATTTGCTTGGCATGACAGAAGAGAAATAAAACCGTCAAACACACAAGCAGAGAGCAGCGACTTTAGCTTTCATCTCTGAACTGCATTATTAAACATCTCCATCAACATGAGTCTGACATCAACCAATCACAGCTGTCTCTTCCCTCTGCTTCCTCCTCTCCCCCCTCCCCTGTCTCTCTCCATTAGGCAAACCTGAAGAAGTTCATGGAGTATGTGCAGCTGAGGAACATTGAAAAGGTCTCAAGGTTCCTGGAGAAAGGCCTGGACCCCAACTTCCATGATCCAGACACAGGAGGTGAGCAGTCTGTGCAAAGAAAGATCCTATCCCTTCTATACTTTAGTTATTTTTACTTAGCTTTTTCAACCTTGACTTTATTTTTGAATGTCTTTACTCAGGTTCATTCATTTGTCTTTCTTAAATCATGCTTTCTCTCTCTCTCTCTCTCTCTCTCTCTCTCTCTCTCTCTCTCTCTCTCTCTCTCTCTCTCTCTCTCTCTCTCTCTCTCTCTCTCTCTCTCTCTCTCTCTCTCTCTCTCTCTCTCTCTCTCTCTCACTCTCTCTCTCACTCTCTGTTCATTTGGTGTTTTTCACTAAAATGACCATTTTGAGGTTTTTCTGAAATAAGCCTTCTGCACATTGGGTAAAGCTGGATTACTCTCTTTGCTAATCTCCTCACATTTATGCAAATGTTTGTCCAGCCATAAAGGAGATTTCCCTGTTGGGTGACCTGTTGGGAAGCGGGGTAAATAAGAATGGCTTGGGTTAACACCAACAGGAAGCAGTCACTTACAGTAGGCAGACCAGAGGGTGACAGTCACCAGGCAGTCATCCAGATGCAGAGTCACTGAAAAGTTATACCCACTGTTTTTACGAATGGAGCCGGCAATTTATGTCTGCAAATATTGACAGGTTCAATTTTTTAAATGTCAACTTTGTAAGATGAATGCACAGTAAAGCCACTGGAAATATGTAGATTTTTTAATTAGTTTGCTCACTCATCCTTGTGTTTGACAGAATGTCCTCTAACGCTGGCAGCACAGCTGGAGGGATGTGCAGAGCTCATCAAGGTGCTGAAGAGTGGGGGGGTGCATCTGGACTACAGAACAAAAGATGGCATTACTGCCCTACACAAGGCTGTGCGCAGCAAGAACCATACAGCGCTTATAGTGAGTATAACATGCACAGCCTCGCAGTCAGACACACTCACACACACAATCGTAGCAGAAAGCTGACTCTTCTCTTTTTCTTTCTTCTGCTACTCCAATTGCCCGCCTGCAAACTTTCCCTTTGGGAAGGCAGAGTTTGCAGGTAGGCAATCTCTGCCAGAGGGTGCTTGAGAAATCGAGCACAGAGGGAGCTTGAGCAATTACCAAATATGTGGGGATTAGCATGCCCTCTCTCAATGGGCTGGCATATTCAGAGAATGGCCTTGTATGTGTCGGGTTTGAGGAGGCTTGTAACCTAAATGAAAGGATTTATGAGTCATATAATTGATTTCCTGTTGAGCCAGAGCTGTTGAAAATAAAATTGGTTATTTCCGGTCTGTCAATGTCAATATGCAAACATTCAATGACACTAAGCCGTCCAACATGAGTAAACTGTTGGTGCTATTGGTATAATTAGTCTTCTAAAGTTCATACTCTGACTATTTTTTCCAAATAAAAGGTATATTATATTTTATTAAACACATGTCCCACAGTATAGGAATGCTCTTAGCAGAGTGAAATGTAATTATATTGATCAGTACTATTATTACTTTGCTGAATTATTCTTGCAACTGCATTTACCTAGTGTTAATAACATATGTATAATATAGCGACTAATATAGTCCTTTAAGCAATATTATATACTTCTATTCCCACTAGACACTGCTAGACTTGGGTGCATCGCCTGACTATAAAGACAGTAGGGGGTTGACTCCGCTCTATCACAGCTCCATGGTGGGAGGAGACCCCTACTGCTGTGAGCTGCTGCTGCACGACCATGCCCAGGTCGGCTGTGCGGACGAGAACGGCTGGCAGGAGATACACCAGGTAATACACACACCACACACACACACACACACACACACCACACACACACACACACACACACACACACACACACACACACACACACACACACACACACACACACACACACACACACACACACACACACCCTCACTCAATCACTCACTCACTCACTCACTCACTCACTCACTCACTCACTCACTCACTCACTCACTCACTCACTCACTCACTCACTCACTCACTCACTCACTCACTCACTCACTCACTCTCTCACTCTCTCACTCACTCACTCACTCACTCACTCACTCACTCACTCACTCACTCACTCACTCACTCACACTCACACCACACACAAAAGTGATAGATTGTGTGCACAATACAGATGTAGTTACAAGGTAAGAGGTCAGTCGCATTGAATTGATTTTTACGTTTCCCTCTGTTAGAGAATGTATTTCGTGGTGGTTGAATCCCTTGGGAGGAGGGGGGTCATGGGTTGGTGGGAAGCTCCAGCTTGGGTAGAAAGTCATTCTTCCCCAGTCTGAAGGTTTGAACATGGACCAGTTTGGAAAACTTTTCACTTCTGACTTTTTAAGTATATATGAATATTTAAAAATATTGTTTTTGTTTTCCTGTAAATGTATAAGGGTTAGGGGCCAAAATAAATATTCTATTCCAAAAACACTACTGAAACATTGCATTATTCATTGCTTTAACCACAAACACTTAAACATGTATGGTGCACATGCTCACACAATCTGAATGCAAGCACAAACACCAATGGCTACTAAAAGGTCATTATATAGATATATATTGTTCTAAACTAAGTGAAGTAGTGGCTTGCAAAAATGACTTACTGTACTGGGTTTTCAGAGTTCATTGACACCAACAGTTCATCGTGCTACTGTTGTTGCAGCTGTATCTGTGCCAGTGTCAAGCAGTCGGGTATATCTAGGTGAACCATAGACATAGTTGCCATATTGTGTGCATTTTATACTCGTACTGCATCAAGCCATGCCCTGCTCTGTAAACACAACGGTGTTTTTGTTTGTGTCAGGGCTTTTAGGCTTATATCCAAGAAGTGACAGAAAGCCACTGGAGGTCTGAAGGTTGTGTAAGAAAAGGCAAACAGAAAGCTCATCTCTTCTGTTGCTCACACTGAATATAAATAAATGCTGAGGATTGTTGAACTAGATGAGTATGGAATCCAGCTCATACCACTTATGTTATATTTGTATGTAAACCTTCTTGATTATGTTCCAAAATTAATGAATTATCAATATTTGTAACATAGGATATGACACCGCACTTTTATTCATTTAGTTATACTGTTGTCTAATGTAAATAAAATAACTAATAAGAAGTGAGAATTAGCAGAAACCCGACTCAGGAGGTAACATTTCAAAAAGAGGTGACAGTGTCAGGGGATTTGCACCTACCTTTCATTACCTGCATGTTCTCCCACTCCCCACTTCATCTATTATTCTCTCCCTCATAGCTTCTACCTTTAAGTCTTGATCATCTCAAGGTCCTGCTATTGTGGTCGTTGAGTAATTCATGAGCAAGATGAAAAGTTCACAGTAAACACGTTTTTTTTTCTCCCTGGAATAAGCTCAACTGAACTTTGTTGCTAAGAAAAATACACTCTATTAAGTTTCAATTAAACCATGGAAATGGTGTTGTAGAGAACCGATTTGAACGAGTATGTTGGATCAAAAAGTGTGGTGTGGTATGATGCAAAAACCAGTCATACACATACAATTATGTTCCACATATGAAAGATTTAGGGCAATTTGATGTCATATTTGTTGTATTGCACTGTACACAAAACAAAACAACATTTACTCACATGTCATGATCAAATGTTGTGCCTTTCCTGTACAGGGGAAAAACACATCCAAAACATTTAAGTTGATGTAGCCAGTCTATCTTTATGTTTGTCACAATATACTGCTGCTTTGATACATGTTGTTGGAAGTGGTTCTCTTACTGGATATGACTAGTGACACTGGAACAACTTGTTGTGGTTTTGTCTGCTGATCTCTGACTGCAGGACTAACAACTCAGCAAAGTGAAATGATTCCTTTCACTTTTGTATGAAAAGGTACTGTATATGAATGAAACTTGCACACAAACACACACAGCGTAACAGTTAGCCTTTATGGCAATTTTAGGAGTGTTGATTATGCTTATGGTTAAATCTCATGAATGGGCACCGAAGAGCTGTTATTCATCAGTCTAACTCAAGCATTTGCATTAAAGTTTGTGCAGTTAACAGTCTGTTGAATCCACCATGGCACAGAGAACTTTGAGTATATAAATACAAAAATGTTCTTGCATTAAGCCCACTGATACCTTTAGTGCTGTCTCCATCACACACCATGTCTCTCCTCCATTTTGCTTTACCTAAAGCTGGCATGCTAAGGAGAAGCTACCTTAGGGAAAGATGAAAGTCAGAAATGAAAACTATGAGGGTTTGTTTTTATACTTGTCTCCCATGTGCAGATACAGTAAGGGGTTTACATAGGACTCAGATGATGTTATACATTCAAGACACTACAGAGTAAATCCAAAGGTCCCTCAGCCTCACACACTTTCTCCCTATGTCTACGTCCTTTTCCTTGTCTTTCCTTTTTCTGTGACCTTTCCAGCATTAGTATTCTAGAGGAATACATGGTGTACAATAGGATACACTGCTGAAGGTGTGATAACCAACAACAAGCCCAGCATCATTTGTGTGCTGTCTCCCCACTGTCACACACTCTTAGCGAGACAGAACACTGGAGGGGAAAACAATTGCTGGGGAGAGACGGTGTGCTTCTTTGTCAATGACACAGGACAAAACCACAGAGTAGGAGGCAAAAGAGGTAGAGGAGATAAAGATAAGATGAAAAGTGTATTGCTTCCAGTTATGGGAAACTAAGGCGCTGAAAAAAGGAATCTCATTTTGTGAGAATAATTTTACCTCAGAGATTTTGCCTCAGGTGAACAAGGGTCTCTCCTGCTTTACGAGACTGAATTAGCCCCAGGGAAACAACTAGTAACATTTCTGAGGTCTACAACTTTTAAATGTAATATGAACCGGTACTTTTATCTGTAGAAAATCTGTATTTGGGCTCATTCTACTGTTATGTACTAAAGGAAAAAAATGTGTATTTAAAAACAACTTGCTGTTTTTAACAGAGCCAGAGGCGTACCGCACCCTAACACTTGATTGTTCATAGGTTTAGTTTTTACTTTTCAGTTTTCTTTACTGGGATTGATAAGCTCACAGAAACACAATGAGCTCTGGACTCATAACGTACCCATTACATCCCTGGTTAAAATCCAGTGTGTCACATTTTTACACACTACACCTTTTTGTCATCTATTTAATTTTGACAAATGAAATAGATCATTTTCTCAGACACACTGGGTGATTGCTCCCTTTTCACTTTGTAACTAAACAAGGATTAATTATGTTTAAAAGAGTAAATGAATGAATTTGTCCTTTCAGGCATGCCGCTATGGCCACGTTCAGCACTTGGAGCACCTGCTGTTCTACGGAGCTGACATGAGCTCCCAGAATGCATCTGGAAACACCGCCCTCCATGTGTGTGCTCTCTACAACCAGGTAACTAGCTGTTTTTTGTAATTGCTTGTGTGCTTAGAGAGTGGGGTTTTCTTCAGGAAAGACATGCATATTGGACTGTTGTGCGATACATGATTTACATCCAATATTCAGGGGCAAAAGGAAGAAGAGGATTCATATTCACAGAGCTGTGCAAAGCGGCAGTTTGTGGCAAATTCTTAATTGAATGTACGGTAGGGCTGTGCGATTATGGCAAAAATCATAATCACGATTATTTTGGTCAATAATTGATATCACGATTATTAAATACGATTATTCATTGACTTTGAAAACATCCATTTATTGAACTTTAAAACAAATACAAATAATAATTTGAACAGTATCTTTTTAACTGTTGATTACCCTGAACGTGTAATTCAACTGAAAAACTTTAAATAAATAATATCAAAATAATAAATACCAATAAACAAGATCAACAAATATTTTGGAGCACACTTCCAAAAGCTACTAATCATATATAAATATGATAAATACAAATAAATTAGACCAAAATAAATTAGATCAAATATGTTGCAGTGCAGTCACAACCTAGCAAAGCAAAATAATTGTTTTATTCGATTATGTTGTTTTCGTAATTGTGGCAGGCCAAAATCGTAATTGCGATTAAAATACGATTAATTGCACAGCCCTAATGTACGGTATGTGAGCATGTAGGATCTAGCTTGTTCTCCTAGAGTTGTAAGAGCAGTTTCTGTGCTTTAACGGTATTGGGGTTGAGCTTTATTGTCTAGCTTGAGGACACTTGTGAAATGTATCGATTTGTGGTTATATGGCCTTCTGATTTGCAGGATAGCATTTACACCATGCTATGCCTCTTTATGTGTGTGCTCGTACATGCACACTTGTGTAGTTAAGCTAAAGGATACCTCTGAGTAGTGGCAGTCTGAAGCAGATGTATCCTTTACCTGGTCATTATCTACACTGTATTTGGTGGCTGTTTTGATAATTGACTGAAAGCGGATAATCAGGAGAAGTGGTCTAAGTGGGATTTTGACAACAAAACGGCCAAAGATCAGGGGTATGTCTGCCATATGTATTCACATCAGTCATTAATGCACTCTGTCTGCTACAATTTGGATGAAAGCTGCAAACAGTGTTTTGTTGCTCTGATACCTTAGAGACTATCAGAGTCAGAGGAGGACTGTGTGTACAGCGTTATTATTTTGTGTGGGAGTTATTATAGTGATTACCTCAAGCTCTCATTCATGAGTACACACTGAGGATCTTACCTTGGTCTGTATTGATAATAATGTTCTGTTTGCACAGCATGTCATAAAGGATACGGCCAGGGTATTTGACAGCTTTTCTATAAATCCCATAACAGATTTTAAAGAAATAATCCTCTTTAATCTATATCCTATATCCAAGGTGATATTCATCGCAAAATAAACTACAGTGCCCACATTAGTGGTGATGACACCCAGTGCAACGATTAAGTGTTTTTAATTGTTTTTAGGCAACAATAATAGTTGTTTACAATATAAATGGATTGTGGTCATGTTATAGGATGTGTTGGCAATAAGAAAAACATAGAACATTTACAGGCTTTTTCTTTAGGTAATCCATCATTTTCATAAAGATTAGCATCAGCTTGATTCTTTCAAGAAAAACCAATCAAGCACACCTGCCAATCTCCAAGAGTGGCTGAGAAGATGATTTAGGTCGTATAAAATAGCTCATAAAGTAATAATATGATTCAAGGGTCTTATGAGGCTGTGATAATGGGAAAGAAAGGCATAGTGTATATTTTAAAATATGAATGAATGTGTTCTATATCAAGAGAGGTACATGAGGACACCGGGCCATGAGAGCTTCAAATACTCCTGGGAAAAAGATGAGAGTAGTCGGGTTCAGTGTGTCCATATGTTGCTCTTTCCTGTTTGGTTGGATGCTCCATAAGTAACATGTAACTTGACGTTCTGCAAAAATGCTTTCCTGCTCCTTTGGAAAATAGAGAGTAGTGCTCAGTTCATAAACATTGAATGAGCACTTTACTCCTCTCTCTCTCACTCACTCTCTCTGTCTTTTGCAAATGAACAAGTCAAAAAGTGTGCATTCATGAATGTGTTTACGTGATGTATTTGTAGCTGTGTACTTTGTGCACATGTTTCAGTCATGAGGAATGACCTGGTTTAACTGAACACCATTCTCAGGAGTGTGTGTGTGTGTGTGTGTGTGTGTGTGTGTGTGTGTGTGTGTGTGTGTGTGTGTGTGTGTGTGTGTGTGTGTGTGTGTGTGTGTGTGTGTGTGTGTGTGTGTGTGTGTGTGTGTGTGTGTGTGTGTGTGTGTGTGTGTGTGTGTGTGTGTGTGTGTGTGTGTGTGTGTGTGTGTGTGTGTGTGTGTGTGTGTGTGTGTGTGGTGTGTGTGTGTGTGTGTGTGTGTGTGTGTGTGTGTGTGTGTGTGTGTGTGTGTGTGTGTGTGTGTGTGTGTGGCACAGCATCAAGATTTAACAGGCTGTTCGCAAAACATCCACGTGACTGAAGTCATTCGGTGTCGCTCTTGTCAGTGGAGGGCCGGCGTGATTGTATGTGGACTGAATATAATCAAAGAGATAATGAATGAATAGTTTTATCTACTCATACAACTTCTTTTAAGTTAACAGTCTTGTTATGGTCACACTCCGAGCTCTTGTCTACTTCCACTGTTTAGTATGGCTGTTATCCTGCCAGTGGAGTCGAACACCACGTCGAGCTGATTGATCCCAGATACAGTGTCTCTTAGCGGGTTCCAGCAGCCTCGAATCAGGCCTTGCTCGGATGATTATGTACCATTACAGACAGAAAAAAGGGCTTTGAATTGACCAGGAACCTTGTCGTCTAGTGGCACAGATCAATACATCCATATGGAGAGAGAAAAGATAGTGTCAGAAAGAGGTAAAGTTGGGAGAGAAGATGAACAGCAAGATAACATAATTAGCAACAGTATAAGCTTGATCAATTGTTCTATTGCCCAAGTTTGTCTGGCCATTAACATTTACTTACTGAGCTTTTAGCTAGGCCTGGCATATGTGATTAGCAGCAATGAATGAATGCATAGCAGGGGTCTTCTACCTGGCAGACAGATCCATGGGAGGTGCTGGGCTGAATGATTGAGAAATGACACAGTAGGCAAGGCAAATGGGGACAACACTGATGAGGGAAATGAAAGAGAGGTGGCACAGGACTAGTCCAAGTAATGCAATCTTGGTGCAACTCTATAATAAGCTGTATGGAAGAAGTCTCAATGTATTTCATGCCACAGTGATTGTAGGCTGCAGTTGTGCACAATAATGAGGAGGAATTCAGAACTAATTTACAGTGTTGCAGCAGTAAATTACACATTTTATGTGCTTCAGATTAGTCACATTCCAATGTAAAAAACAAGCCCAATGTGCAGTGAAGGATGTCAAATCTGCTTATATCTAATGAGAGAAGGGATCCTCAAATGTATAAACATGGCTGGGAAGAGGTACCATCTGTCACACTCTTTACACATGACTGACCCGTGTCAATGCTGTAAAGTACTTTCCTGTGTAGATAAAGTAATCACATCTAGAAACCATGGTGAGATCTACTGGAAATGTTTCCTTAATGAATTCCTATAGGAAGCCTTGGAGAGAAGAGAAAGACAGATGGCCTTCACTGTAGTGTGTGTGTGTGTGTGTGTGTGTGTGTGTGTGTGTGTGTGTGTGTGTGTGTGTGTGTGTGTGTGTGTGTGTGTGTGTGTGTGTGTGTGTGTGTGTGTGTGTGTGTGTGTGTGTGTGTGTGTGTGTGTGTGTGTGTGTGTGTGTGTGTGTGTGTGTGTGTGTGTGTGTGTGTGTGTGTGTGTGTGTGTGTGTGTGTGTGTGTGTGTCCTTGTAAAAGAGTGTAGAATGTCTCAATAGCACACATTATAGTTGAATTGAATTCAGTAGTTGTTCTTAAAACTTGATTTTCCTAAATATGTAAGGATGTAACATGCGTTTGATAATGTTTCACCACATAAAAAAATCAGCAAAAGCTACAACTTGTGTTTTATTTACAAATGTATCAAAGAGGAGAAAGATGTCCCGTCTATCATATAGCATTCCTTCAACACTTCTCTCCAGCATTAATGTATTGTCCATTATATAACAGGTTTTTCCTAAAACTTGTTCTATGACCTTGTTTTTTGTGGCTAAAAACAGAAAGGTACTAACTAAAAAACATATGGTGTTCATTTCGATTCATTACGCTGCGTGTGTGTTTGTGTCACTGTGCATGCAACTGCATAATGTATGGTTGATTAGCGATCATCACACTTTAAAGCCGCAGGCATTTATCTATATAAGTTTTTAGACCCTGAGCAGTTATACTGTATGGGCTATTAAATGGTAAATGGTCTGTACTTATATAGCGCTTTACCCAGTCTTTAAGACCCCTCAAAGCGCTTTACATACTACATGTCGTTCACCCATTCACACCCATTCATACAGAGCAGTGTACCTAACTCTAGGAACTAACATTCATACACATTCACACACCGTTGGCCATGCCATCGGGAGCAACTCAGGGTTAAGTATCTTGCCCAAGGATACATCGACATGTTGACTGCATGGGCTGGGATCGAACCCACAACCTTCTGGTTGAAAGGCGACCGCACTCCCTCGCAGCCACAGTCGCCCTATTAGTAGTAAGAGTGATCATACATTATTCATAACACACATGCTCCATTTACAAATATCCCCATGTCTTTACCATCCATGTTTACATGTACGTGCTAATGCAGGACGCCATGGTCATTTCAGGGCACCCACGTAGCTACCATCTGTGTATTTTACCAGAAGAGGGTGCTCCAGTTTGTTTGTGTTAACCTCATACATATGTTGCAAGACCAGTTAATCAGATACACCACGGATAATGAGGAAAATCACATGGATCTGTTGACCTCATGTTCAAATAGTGTGTGTGTGCATGTCCCTCAACATGACAGGAGTCACCAGAGTTAGTGTGCTGTGTGTAGAGCAAAACTAGCCGCGTTTATTCTGCACTCAGTGATGAATAAAAAATCAACCCTTTTTTCTCTTTAACACTCAAAACATTATATACTGTAGCAATAGTTTGAGACAAAAGAGAGAGGGAGAGAAAGAGTGTGTTGTAAAACTATATAGGGTGTCTGTTTCATCCTTGTTGTAATGTGTTTCTTGGATTTCATTCATTTCAGCCTCCTTTTGCATTTTAAGTATAGTTTAGCCAATGCTTGGCCAACAAGCTCTACGTTGAATTCCTTTTATAAAATACAGTGTTTTACTACACTTACTTGAAAATGTTGTGATTAGTACAGAGCATGTTGGGGTCTTTTTGTGTCTCTTTTCTTTTTCTTTTTTTCCTGCTATGTTTACTGAAATTCAAAGATGAAAGTATATTAAAACTAGGGCTGGATGGTATGAGATAAAAGCAGTATCAATGTAAGTCTGGACACTAACAACATTTATTGGCACGTCACCATTATAATTTGTTAAAATCTTACTTTACAAGTTCAGTGCTACACAAAGACATGGCTAAGAGTTCAAGTCAAACCATCCATTTCAACATGTATGTATTCCACACTCGTATATATTAAAAGTTAAGAGCAGAGCAGGAGGTCCAGCATCTCTGACTTAATTAAAGGCCATACAAAATATGATAAAAGATCAATTGCAGCTTGTAGCATATTACAATTATTTGAATGTCAAATTCAACACAAACAACCTCACCCATCGTCTATCTGCTTCTATTATTAGTCGGAGGGTATTTAGTGTTTTCCCTATTTCCTTCTAAAAATCGCTTCATAGTTAATTAGTAGTGAATATGGTTGCATTGTAGATAATTGTGTGTGTGCGTGCATTGTTGCTCATTATGCACTTCATCTGCTGGAGTCAATGCTCACACTTTCAAACATATTGTGCTGTAATGCTGCCTCTGTTCAAATGTTCTCACGGCACCGTTTCTTTAAATCTAATATTTCTGTTTGAATGTTGCAGATGGTAAAATATAGTGACATCTAAAACTCCTAGCTAACCAACCACACAAACATGTTGCTCTCATCATTCAGGACAGCTGTGCACGAGTTATCCTGTTCCGGGGGGCCAATAAAGAGATAAAGAACTACAACAGCCAGAGCGCCTTTCAGGTATGTTTGTTATCCAAAGCCTCTGCATGCCATGGGACTATTAACATCTTTGACATGTCAGAGCTAAACGGATTGAATGACTTGTCTTACACAGATAAATGCTCCTAAATTGAATTTATTGAAGTCCGTGTAGAATTGAGACTGACACTTCCTGTGGAAATCAAAGTTGTTTCTGCACAAGGCAGAACATTGCCACACATACTGATGTTAAACACAACAAAGGAGTACATGTGTAAAACATTATGAGGAGAGTGAGCGATTTCTTTGCTGACAATTTTTTGCTTTTTATCTTTTGTGTAGCTTCTGTCACTTATGTGTTTGCTCCTTTCCTTCCCCTGTCTCTTCTCCATCTCCAGGTGGCTATTATAGCAGGAAACTTTGATCTGGCTGAAATCATAAAGGTCCACAAAGTATCAGATGTTGGTAAGTTACAGTAACAGCGGTGGTAGTATTTCTCTACCTGGCTGCCTCAGTGTTTCATAGGTTCAGACATGAATGAGGTATCAGGGAGCGATCAGACTGAAGAATGTCTGAGCGTAGATAGAGAAGCTCAAAAAACATGGTGAGGACAGGTTATAGACTAAGCTGTGTGGAAGTGAAGGGAAGGAAATAGACATGTAAGGGGTTGAGAAGGATTCATGGATTTGTTGGATTCCTGCTGAGCAGTTTCTCCTTGACTTATACATACTGGGAAACTCTGCCATCTAGTGTGGACACAATGTCATTCAAGGTTCTTTATTTTGTCATACGACACCATACATATATAATAATACACCATTATTTTATATTGAAATGTGTTACGCTCATATTTTATCCCATTTAACAAGAAGCAGTTTCAAATGGGAACCTTATGAACCTCTTTCAATTTACACTTTATTACATTTTAAATAAAAGTTGTGCCGCCTTCTTCATTGAACTTTAAATATACTTTAATAATGCATATAAGAACTTATATATACAATTTCAAATATTTTGTAGGTTCAATTTATCATGAAGACAATATTAAATTCCTAGCTACAATAAAAACCCAGCTCTGCCTTTCTGAAACATCTAAACGGATATCCTTATTCTTTGTTTGGGTCTTCATTCTTCAGGGGTCAATGTTAAAATGTCATCATAGTTATTAATATATAAATGTAGTCCTATATTTTATAGTATATTTTAAATGTGATTCTTAAGATTCAAAGGCTTTACTGCAGTACCAGATCCTCTGAGTTTCTTGTTCCTAACAGATAATAAAATAAGTATTTTGCAAATGAAATGAAAGCACAGCCTACTGTCAGATAAGTGCAACCGTTTAAATACTTTGAGTGACCTTGAGATGTGTGAAATTGCAGTTATCTCCCCATCTAATAATTCTGTTCACTGTGCCTGCTACAGTAGCTTTATATATTATGGTGAGACTGTTAAGACGTGTCTCTTCTTTCAGTGCCTTTCAGGGAGACCCCCTCTTACACCAGCCGTCGACGTATGACAGCGGGACCCCTGCCCTCGCCACGATCTCTGCTCCGCTCTGCGAGTGACAACAACCTGAACGGGGACCACGATCACATCCACGGTCAGGCCCCCAGAGAACCTCGCGGTCGGCAGGGTCACTCCCCCGTCCCCTCACTGCGCAGCCTGCCAGCTTTCGGTCAGCAGCACAGCAGCCTCGGAGAGGTAAGACGAAAAGGCGAGACTGTGCAGGTTTGACTGTATTTTAATTGTGCGTGAGGGCAAATTTGAGCATTTTCAAAGTCAGAGATTACAAAACAAGTAAAGACGGGTTCTCTTTTATCCTTTCGCCTGTATCTACTTGTCTTTCGTCCTTTTTGTATAACTAATGCTGTTGATGTATTGTGATTTTAAGGGTGTCCTTTATCATCTGGCCGGGGACAACAGCTGGTGTGGTGGGAATTTATTTATCAAATATGGATAGAGAATCAAACCATTCAGCTGTCTCTGTCGGAGTGTAACTAACAACATTGCAAACAAATCTTCTTAATAAGGAATTTTCCCAAGCTTAGCTAAGAAGTGTGAGAAGTAGTAAATATAGATAAACATTAGCAAATAAGAATCACACAATGATATTATTAACGTAAGTAAGTGAGTATAATATTTTTCTATTACACTGGAAATTAGCAATGTTTGCTAAAGCTGCCCCATTTACTGTTTTTTGTGACGGTTGATCAATGGGGACTGTCCACGACACTATCAAAAAATAAACTAAAAATGAGAAACAATTTGACACAATCCCATGATAAGAGTGCACAAAGGGGATTACTGTGTCTTACATGTGCATATGAAACCTGTCTCTTCTTCTGTGTCAGAGCCGTCATGGAGAGATCCCTGACAGCAGTCTCCAGAGCACAGGTAGCTCCAGATCCTCCCATTCCCGCTCGCCTTCGCTACATCACATGCACGAGGAGGACAGGCCGGTCCCCAGGAGGTCCCACAGCCATGGATACCCTCATGGACACAGCCATCGTGGAAGACTCAGGTCTGTAGGTTTCAGTTGACCTCAGTTTCTTTTATTGATCTAAACTGCTTTTAAAAAAAGATTGTAAACAAGCACATGTCTCTCCTCCTGTTCCTAATTCATGTCTCACACTGTCTTGGCAGTTTATCTAGAATCTAGATCATCTGTGATTGGCCTTGTGATTAAGCACATCCTTTGATATTCAAACTGAATTTAAGTCACCAGCGTTCTGCAGTTTCTTCCTTCTGCTACCGGCTGCTACTGGTGATAAACATGACATAACATTTATCTGAGCCAAATCTTGTCTATTTATCCATCAATCAAGCCCAGGCACATATGATAGTCGTTTTCCTGTCAAACTGTATTTGCAACCAGTCCAAAAAGTAATCGGCATAAAACATAAACTAGGAATTGAAAATGAAAATGTGTAGTTTTATAGTGGCTGATTGAAACACTGATCAGTATGAGATCTGGTATAGTAATTTAATTGGGTGTTTGGGTTTGAGGGCAATGGTCAGTGGCATCATTTGTGTCTGGCATAGAAACATTACTCTTTATATAACAGGTTAGGCTGAAATACAGCATTTCTCCTGCTAGGAGGATGGAGGGCAAATAACCTACTTCAGATCTGTGTGTGTTTGTCTCTGTGTTTGAATGGGAGGCCATGTATAGCTTTCACAATTCAGAGATAGACAGACGGAACACGGCTAATAATGATCACCATGGGGACCAATTGAAGGTTTCAAACCTGCGAGTGTGTTTGTATGTCAGTTAGTGTGAAAGAGGTTGAGGATACATTCTGAGATTATGGCTATGATGGATGTCATTAGCTGGCCACTCGGTTCCAAACAGCCTGTCATTCGGCTGATACATACATCCACAGATGTAGTTGTGCTGCTGGGGAACAAATCCCCCCCCCTTGTACACCGTGCCATTAGACAAACTGCACAGTAAACTAAGGCTCTGATCACATCTTGGAGCGATAGATTTAAGTGGTCGACTGACACTTGGTTTGTTAAGCTTTTTATTATGATCATATGTCAGAGCAAGATTACCTACGTACAGCACACACCTAATTTGTGTGTGTGTGTGTGTGTGTGTGTGTGTGTGTGTGTGTGTGTGTGTGTGTGTGTGTGTGTGTGTGTGTGTGTGTGTGTGTGTGTGTGTGTGTGTGTGTGTGTGTGTGTGTGTGTGTGTGTGTGTGTGTGTGTGTGTGTGTGTGTGTGTGTGGTGTGTGTGTGTGTGTGTGTGTGTGTGTGTGTGTGTGTGTGTGTGTGTGTGTGTGTGTGTGTGTGTGTGTGTGTGTGTGTGTGTGTGTGTGTGTGTGTGGGGAATTGCATTACAGACACAGCACCAGCCTTACTCCCCTCTCCCTTTAATACTCTCCTGTCACTTTACTACATCCATCAAAGACTCTGTTTCTCTCTCTCTCTCTCTCTCATTCACACACACATACAGACACACTTAAAAATATAAACACAATGCCATTAATCTGCACTATGGTTTGCAGCCACAGAGCAAACACCATTCTTTATTAAATCATGTAACATGCTCACATCAAACCGCATAGAGACTAAAGCTCTACAATCTTCACTCAATCTTAAATCACTTTATATAAAGTACATTAAGTTCATTAATAAATTCACACTGGAGTGTTAACCACCCACCACTCATTCTATGAATTTCGTTCCTCATTATGGTAACAAACTAAGTGCATTTTCTTCTGCTATATCTGGCACTGCATTGGCATAATTATTTAGTGACAGAGAAAAACATGTTTTGCTCTGTCATTGTGCACAATGCTTATTGTGTAGTCAAAATGCTAAGCTAGAGAAAAAGGAAACAGTCCGAAAGAAAAAGGAGAAAGCAGGTTTAGTATGTCTGCTGTGTCCTGGCCTAAATGGCCTTCTGCACACAGGGAGTTGTCCTTTAGTGTGCATCACACTTATATTATGTAATATAGTGAGGTGAATGTATTAAAGTCCAAAACGAGCAGCTGGTCTCTATGGCCAGAACCTGCACCCAAGTGAGACTGATGCTGTCCTTGAATATTTTCCCTCCAATATTTCTCCCTCCCTGTCTCTGTTTCTCTCTCTGACCTTCTGTTATGCCCACGGTAACTCTAGAGGCATTATGGGTACCAGGGGAGTGTGAAATTAGCTTGGCCGGTCAGCAGCCCGCCCATCGGTTCCTGTGGAACTCACCATCACTTCCTCTTCTGTGCGTGTGTTGCCAGGGTTCAAAAGCTCTGCCAGGCCTCAGTAGAAGTTTGGATGGCGACAACAGAGAGGAGACAGAGGCTCATTAACACTAGATCAGATGAGGGAAAGCAACAAAGCTAACCAGTACAAATTAAAGCAGAAAAGTGTGTGTAAAACATCTCTGTAGTTAACATTTTAATAGGACAAGAGGCTGGCTGATGATATGATAAGGTGACACATTTCGTTAATTGGCTACTTAGCATGATGTGCTGTCAATACAAAGAGATAATTAATCATCAAGAGGGCTCTGTCTGACAGTGTCAGTGTCAGAAATTGGGTTATTAAGCATTGCACCTTAAACATATTACTCAGTCTTGGTTTGGAGAGGAAGCTAAAATAGATTGAAAAATATTATGTTTCTAAGCAAAGTAGGATCTTTTTCAATTTCAGTTTGTAGCAGAAAATTCACATTTTCAACAACCTGCCTTGTAATGTCATTGTAAAATGACTTTTTGCCAATATCTATTAATTAAAATGTTTTTTTTGCATAACATCTGACTGGTTAAGGCAAGAGATAAAAAAAAAAAAAAATACTTGTTTTGTCAAGTTATCAAATCGTTTGCCAGCACCATGTCTGTAACGTCGTCAGAAAGCCAGGCCATTGGTTAAACCAAGTGTCCAGGAGATTTCAAAGCAGGTGGCTGAATCCTCATTTCAGATGAAGATTAATTTCAGTTGCACAACATAACCTCAAACATGTTGTCATATAAGGTCGTTGTGGTAGCTTGTGGTGACAGTAGCAATAAACGCTTTTATTTCCTGCTGTTGTGCTATAGGACCCCTGTTGTGATGTGTAATGTCAACATTAAGCCGACGGTGGTATCCAGCTCCTTCACCTTTTAAATCTCTATTTGTAGCTGTTCCCTTACCTCTGTTTGACCCTTTATCCCCTCTTCTTCCTTTGAATTAGTCACACCAGTGGCTGTTGTTGTGTAGATTATACACAACTCGTTAAGACAGCCAAGGGCTGAGCTACACAGAGAAGAAACGAGGACAGGGATAGAGAGGAAGGGGAGGGGGAGAGTTGAACCTCATCAAAGCAGGACACAACGGTATTGGTTTGTGCATGTGATCATTTGTGTCAGAGGGTGATATTGATTGGCTAATGGTGATTTTCGTTTTGCAGTTCACAACATGCTAGTAGCTTATCTACATGAAATACTCTCGAGTATCTCTTGGCAGTAGTATCTCCAGTTTGTGGCAGCAGTAGGATAATATGCTGGCGTTGATGTCTCTCTTTCCACTTTCTCATCTCTTCTTGGGTATATTTCGAGACGTTCCCGCCCCAAGGCCATACTGGATATGTTATCCATCCGGCGTGTTATTTGTCTTCCCTGGGGTTTACGTCACTAGTTTAGCATATTCAGCCTGGTTGTTGGCCCGGTAAGAACCTCGATTTTGGAGGGCCAGAAAAAAGGTGAAAAAGTAGCCCTGAGCCGGAACTACCCCTAGTGGAAAACAGAAAAAAAGCAAACCCGACCCGCTTAAACCGTGCTACGTGCTGCAGTGGAAAAGCACCATTAGTTACCCATCTCCCCTCCACACACCCACAACACTCCCTGAGGGACTTCATCAGAAGCCTCCTTCAAGTCCGTTAAGCTTTTAGAGTCTTTTGTAGTCGTAGCCTTTCCAAACTCCTTTCCAATAGTCAATAGACAGGATTGCTAATCATTTAATTTAGCAGTGAACATACAATCCAAGCCATGAGACTATAGTTTGGTCTTTAAATTAAATGAAATGACAGTAAATCAGAAAAATTCACACATATTAAAGTGTAGTGAAAATATTTTAATGTGGGTAAACTATTTACTGACACTAGAGTTGGCAGTGTGTGCTAAATGGTTTGTTTATCATCCCCTTTCTCAAATTGAGGTGGAGTTTGGGGTTATGTGTTAATCACGCCAATTGACCCTTTTCTAATTTTGCTTAATGGTGAAGTCTCTGCAAAGCATTAAGCTGTCAATGTGCCAACAGATTTGCTGTTCACAACCTTAAAAGGTTCTGCCCAATGATTACACGTTCTAATTGCACCGTGATAACCATAAACACTCCCATATCCCGCCAAAAAAAGAATAAAAAGAGCATGACTTCATTCAAGTGCAGCAAAGCAAGGACAGAGTGATAATTATTGGGATACAAAATGTGATGCTGATTATGAATGTGTTTGAAATGTCCTCATATGACATTAGATAGATGGGCAATTTGAGGAAAGAGCGTTCTACCTGAGGTTGCATAGCAGTCATGTGAGAAAATCTACAGTGAAGCTGCTTTTTTCTGAAAGCATCTGTGTAAAAGGCCTTTTGTGGCATTCAGAGTCGTAGGCCGTTCACAGATTTCTACTTCTGAATTGATTTGGCTGGACTCATTATTGAGCTGTTTAAATGTTAACCTGCCTTTAGTGGTCTCACATATCCCAAACAAGCATCTGAAGTTATTTTCTTGAAAATTCGGAAAAAGCGTACTGCATTTGTGGAAAAAGATTGTTGGCATTCGTTCTCATCTTCCAAACAAATACCCCACCAGTGCTACCTTCCACACATACCACATTTTCAGGGGTTGAAGCCCACAGATGAGAGTCCCAAATAAAAATTAAAATTAAAACAATATTTGGAATCAAGGTCTCTATAGCTGTAGTGTACTTTTTTCAGTGAGATTTTTTCAGTGATTTTTCAGAGATGCTTGAATGTGTGAGAGGAGAATCTATAGAGAAAATGGCCAATTAAGGGACAATAATCCATGGAAGGCTTATTATTTATGACACATGGACAGTTTTGGAGATACAAGTTCATATTATTGACTTATCAGTACATTTGTTGGCTGTATTTTCTTTCCTTTTATTGACAGTTGCCATAGTTACAGAGACATGGCTGGTGTCCTAGGAAACGATGAAGCTTTTGTAATACTCTGTATTAGAACTTTGTGTGTATGTGTGTGTGTGTATGTGCATGTAATGGATCCTGCATCTGTATCTGGTAAAAGCTACTTATAATGAGGCACGGTGCAAGAGAATAAAAGAGAGGAAATATGCAATAAAACCGAATGAGCAAAAAAATAGCTTTTGCAAATATAGTCAAAGTTGGCATATAAAAAGTGAGAATCATGTTATACTAAATTCTTTAGGCGAATAGCATGTTAAAAATCAATACAACATGGAAAAGCCAATATGCATACTAGGAAAATAAAATTGATATATTGATCTTGGTGGACTATACAGTATATCGTCCAAAATCCAACAGGAACACTTGATCAACAAAATAGGGATACAATCTTTACAAAAACATCAAGCTAAACCACTCTGGAGACACGAGAAAATACTGAGTATTTGTTGTGTACCTCTACTGAAGATGAATAAATGAGAAACCCTTGAACAGTTTTTAAAGCGTTCTGATCACAATAACAACAAACAAGAGTCTGCTCTTTGTACTCATTTGGTTTAATATCAAGTGACTGTAAAAAGCTTTCTGGTGGACCCTTCCAGAGTTTAACTGTATTACATCCAGAAATGTTGTCTAATAATGTAGAATTAAAATCTAAAATATTACCAACTCGTGGGTGGATCATCATACTAATGCTTGCAATAGCAACTTAGACTTAAATGTGATGAAACATGCAACAGATATTGATATCAAATGAGAAATTGTGTAATCTTACATTGTAAACGTAAAAAGAGAAACATTTATATCGTAGATTTTCTTTTTAAATTAAAAATACATTTAGTTATACATGTATATTTTAAAGTTTTAAGTTGGAAACTGCACATGAACATTCTAGATAGACATTTTGAAAACCCATATGTATCTATGTGCAGTTTCCAATGTAATCCTCGTCGTGTGTAACATAAACGTGTCATTAAAACTGGGTAGAGAGCAGGAACCATGTCCACCCTCCCTTCTGTCTGACATATAGATAACATGTGTCAACCTCACCATCATCAGCTCATTGCAGGGAGCAGCTGAGGTCAGCATGTGTACATAACCTCACAGATGGTGTATGTGTAGGTATGGGGCAGATTTAAGTCATTGAAATAGATTTGCTTTAAGAAATCACATTATTTGGCTCTCTGTGTCACTTTATCAAAGCCCTATTTACCTGACTCTCAAGCCTCCCCTCCTCTTCGCTGCTGATGTTCATTGCTGAGGCTCAGACATTAACATGCGGCAGCCATCCCGGCCCCTCAGTCCCTGCGGTAATTGGAAAGCCGTCAGCAATCCGTTGTTTCGATGGAGCAGGGGGGCAGAGAAAGAGAGGCTGTGTGAGATGGGGGGGGGGGGGGGGGGGGTGCAAGAAAAGCAATAGAGTGTTGGGGAAGGAAAAAGACAAACAAGGCTTGAAATAAGGAAGGGGGCGGATAGATGAATGGAGAACGAAGGGTAAAGGGCACATGAGGCTAGAATCAGGTGAATGGAATCTAGAAGGTGAATGATACAAGCTGGCAGGAGGCTAAATGAGGTTGATGGATAGATGGGGATGAAGGAGATGTCTTTCAAGGAAATGTTCTTCTGAATGACATCAAAGACCAGGACATAATAAAGTTGTAATACATACAGTAAGCACACGTTCAAGTAAATTCTACATCAGGTAAACATGAGGAGAAACTGCTGGCGGTGGCGGCGGCTTATATTTTTATTAATTGTATTTTTAATTTGTTTCAAAAATGTGCTTGAGAGAAAGCTCGTGACTTCAAACAGCAGACTGATGCTGAATGTATCCTGCACAGTGGTGGCAAAGTGTGATGAATGAATACTAGGCGGAGCTCTGCCGCTGCTGTATTAGAATTCACCGCCAGAGAGAGAGAGAAGGAAGGAAAGAGAGAGAGTGGAGATGCAATGCGAATAAATGTTGAGAGGGATTAGAGGGTGAAATGGAAGCGAGAGAATGAGAGAAAGAAGGAGGGGATTCAAGGCAAAGAGAAAGAGGGAGGAGCAACAATTAAACTAAATGGGCTGGAGCTTTTTGCCCTCCGCCCTACTGCACACACACACACACACACACACACACACACACACACACACACTCTCACAGCCTGCCTCAGGGAGCCATGGCGCATGCACGCTTGCAGTCAGACAGGCAGCAGGAGATCAATCGTACTCTGGGACCAGAGTGTGTATGTGACTGTTAGCGATGTGTTAGCAACATGCTGGTGGTGGTGGTGGCGGTGTATGCCATGCAAGCGGAGGTGCAATAGTAGCAGGAGTGGGGGGGGCTGTCTGTGTATGTGCCTGTGCGCACGGCTATAATGCACATAGAGGGCTTGTGGTGTGTGAGAGCGAGCGAACCGTCAAAGGGGAGGGCAGCCAAGGAGCGCAGCAGCAGCACGAGCAGCAGTAGCAGCAGCAGCATTGCCAGAGTGTGTGTGAGTGTGTGTGTGAGCGAGCGTGTGTGTGTGAGGGGTGGAGGGGAGAGGAGAGGCAGACGCGGCGGGACTCCCAGGAGAAGGAGCGGGGAGTCGGGAGCAGACCCAGCCTCTCTCCTCCACAGCAGGAGGACCAGGACCCAAGGACAAGGCAGCGTCTGTAACCCAGTCTGGAGCAACTTGAACTGGGGACACAGGGACATCTCTGCCACTCTGGAGGGGGGGTCTTCTTCTGGAGCCCCAACTCAGGATGTGTTTGAGTAAAGGGGAGCTTTCAGACGGATGTGGCAGACCCACACAGAGAAGGACACTGTGCAGTCCCTCTTATCGTTAAACATTTCTGCCTCCACCTCGGTTAGGATGCGGGGGAGAGTGGAGAGATAGAAGGAGAGGGTAAAAGGGAGCAAGAAGGATATTGTCTGTGCTATTAAAGAAGGCAGAGAGGGAATAAGAAGAGGAGGAGGGGGGGGAGAGTGGATGGGAGGAGTGTCCTCTCCGCTCATGAATGTCCCATGGAACACTGACTGTTGACTGTTGATCGGCAGGCGTTGGACTTGTTTATGAACCGGTCCCTGGTCAGCCTAGCAACCGGGGGGTGTCACTAGGTTGCTGTCCCGCTGACAACCATGTCGGTGACCACAGGCTTCAGTTACCAGCTCCCTGGAATCACCACAGTAACATATGTGTTTGTTTACAGCCCTGGCTCAGTGCAGCGAGACCCAAGCCCCCCACATCACACCCCCCCAGCGCTGACAGGCCCCCGCGGGCCCAAACGGAAACTCTACAGCGCTGTCCCGGGACGTACCTTCATCGTGGTCAAGCCCTACACGCCACAGGGGGAGGGAGAGATCCAACTCAACCGAGGAGAAAGAGTCAAAGGTAAATTGTCTGCTTTTTTATGTGTACTTTGTGATCCTTCCCCGATGCTGTAACTACTTCTGTACACTACAGCTGCTAATATTCTGGACTTCATCACTACTAGGTATGTTTAGGAACTCCTGTAAAGTTCTCATGTGGCTCCCATGAGCTGGGTTTGTAGCAGAACAAAAGAGGAGACATTCCCATGCTCTCATCTGTCTCAGATACAAAGCACACCATCACTTCAGTATGTTTTTGGCTGTAAAGCAGTTATGTGATAGCACCTGGAAGTCATTTGAGTGTTGTTTGGGCTTGACATGGGAACAATCATTTCATCCAGCTTAACAATGTGCTGTTTTCTGCTTTACAAAGAGGTGCAGTGGCTTCGCTTTCATGTGTTTGTGCTTTTGTCTCTCCATCCATGCTCCACTCAAGACTATGACCATAATGACGTAGAAGGTAAACTCCATAATATTCTTCTCACCCTGTTTCTCTCCCATACACTTGAGTGTGTCAACCCCACACCTACCTCGTGTAGTAATGAGTTCCTGGTCCTGTTTGAATCCACTTGAGATATGTGCACAATCTCAGTACAAATCTGTGATTACTTCAAGGAGAGCGCATGCAAATTCAAACAGGTCCCGTGTGCGGTTGGTTGTTGGTATGCATACACACATTGTGTCCTTCTTACTCTCTGAGATTACTTCCCCCTGAACGTCTTACTGCTTTCCTCCCTCCTCTTATCACCTGTCCACAGACACCCAGCTCCACATTGACCCTACATCCTGCCACTTCACATACATCACCATGGATCAAACCCACATTAGCCTAATGGAAACAGTTCCCTCATGTCCTCAGAAAGGCTGGAGAGAGAGATAGAGGCCGCACTCATGCTGAGACCTCTCATGTTCCTTTCAGATCTACAGAGGCACAGGAAGTACAGATTAAGGGTCAATTTAGAATTTCAATTTTTGTATTATTGTTTTCAACCACAACATATGCACGCAATGTTATCTCTCTCTCCCCTCTTTCTCAGAAACATTCAATAGCAAACAATCCACAAACACTGGTCTAAACCCCTTCCCTCTGCCTGAATACAAACTTAAGTATTCCTTGATGTTTTTTCCTCCCAGCTTTTGTGACCTTAAAAAACGTTTATCAGTGGATCCCCTCCTGTATGCTTTGATGCCTCACCTTTATAGTAGTGTGTCTGTTCTTTGAGAAACAGAGCTGTCATTTCCACAGGACTTACTAACAACAATTCAGATTTAACAATTCAATCTCATGTTTTTTCTGAATGATACAGTATTGTCTGAAACAGTGATGCATACTGATGTTGACACAAATGTTATCGGAAATGTGATGACTCAACAGCAGCCAGTGTGCCTACATCTCCTGAATGAATCTGCTGTCACTGGCTTTTCTGTCGGTGCAGCTGAATCCATAACCCTGCCACTAATGTGAACACACAGTATTTTGCCGTTCTTTCATGTTGGCCATGCAGGAAACAAGCTTACAGTCGCATGGCTGCCAGCACCATGACCGAGCCAAGTAAACCATCTGGCTGTGATATGCACCACTGACCATCATAGCCATTACTGTGTTGCATTCACTATACTTCCGTAGTCCTAGAATAGATGAGAAACACGTTGTGGTTTTCAACTGCTTGTTGAACATCTTAAAGCACAGGCAGTTCAGGTTCTATGCATAACGTTTGTTTTGATGACCAAATGGTGTTTAGGGCATTAGTCCTAGCAGGGAGTGACCATCCCCGCTGCACAGAGAGGCTTGGCCTGAGAAGCCACTTCCTTTAGGAATGGATGACCCTTGGTTTGTTACATAATGCATTTCATCTAATCTGCATTCATAAATGGATGAGTTGCTAATAGTAATAGGGCTCATTCGCAATGGAGGACAGAAAGAGGTAGGGCAAGTAAAAGAGAGAGGAAAGGATAGAAGGATTTGTGTGTGTGTGTGTGTGTGTGTGTGTGTGTGTGTGTGTGTGTGTGTGTGTGTGTGTGTGTGTGTGTGTGTGTGTGTGTGTGTGTGTGTGTGTGTGTGTGTGTGTGTGTGTGTGTGTGTGTGTGTGTGTGTGTGTGTGTGTGTGTGTGTGTGTGTGTGTGTGTGTGTGTGTGTGTGTGTGTGTGTGTGTGTGTGTGTGTGTGTGTGTGTGTGTGTGTGTGTGTGTGTGTGTGTGTGTGTGTGTGTGTGTGTGTGTGTGTGTGTGTGTGTGTGTGTCACTCAAACACTGACATCTTGATTCCTGTTTGTGTATCACTAGCCATACCAGAGGAGTGTGAGGAGATCAGACTGGGTAAATCTCACTAAATGTCTGTGTGTGTGATCTGTGTTAGTGTCCTTGCATAACCATAACTGTGTATTAACTACCCTGGTAGTATGGCAGACTGGAGGTTGAGGCGAGGGAAATTATAAGTCCTACAGAAATAGATGTGTTCCACTGTGTAGTTTAATGAAGACCATTTTTGTTCTCATGGAGACATACTTTAGTTGTCAGCAGTAGACTGTAGCACATTCCCTGTCAAGTGTGTTAGTAGCTGTTCCTTTTTGATTTGATATTTTTCTTGAATATTTATGAAATGCACAATATGATGATTTATTGTCTACTTCTCGTAGTGGCGGATGAATGTCTGGACTCAGATGGTAAATACAATATACTGTAGCGTTATAGCAAAAATCTTCATAGCATTTGATTTATGTCAAAGTAGTTTTAACTCGTAAGACTTGGTTTTGTAATTTTAACTTGGTTCATTAAAGTGAGCTGAAATTAGTATTATGTACTATAATGGGTGCTGTAGCAATATAGAGTTATATATTGATGACAAAAGATTTGAAAGAGCACACAAACGAAGGAGTCTGGCCTCTCAATTTGCTCCAGCTGTTTTGGCAACTTTAAAGCACTTGAGGTTGAGAGGATCTGCACTGTAAATATTGCATTCTTGTATACCGTTGTTGTTATTATTATTACTATTAGGATTAGGATTTTTAGTTTATTTAATCCCACATGGATTAGTCACAGTAAACCATACCACATATTAGACTCAAACTAAAGAAAGCAAAAAGCACAAATGACACTCTGCTATCAGTTTAAGTTTAAACTCAGGGACTGCCAAACGTGAGCGAGAAGGTTTCATCCTGACACGTGTAGAAATCCCTTTTCCTGTATGAAATATTACGTTTTAATAGCCTATAAGACTTGTGGTTCTATCCTCCCTTGCCCTCTCAAACATTGACTTGCAGATTAAGTAGTACTCAAATCTTTTGTGGTCAGCATATAGTAGTAATATTATCATGTATGTTGTGGTGGGATAGTGTTAGTAACTTAACTGTAGAAAGCCAAGACGTATTTAATTGAAATACTTGTTTATCAATTATGTATTAATTTGTGTGGTGACTTATAGCTGACATCTCGTATACTGAGGACGATGAAGATTGTGCCATAGACATAAGTGATGGTGATGATGATGATGATGATGATGAGGAACTTGAAGGTAAAATTATATATTTTCTTTTTGATTCAGAAATAAGGATGACGATGTGTAAACCGGTATTCATTGAGCATCTTCAGGTTTATTTCAAGTTCACAGCTTTAATCCACGATGTGAACAAAGATAAAAACATACATGTAAGATTGAGATCATATCTAAGTGTGAGAATGACTTTTATGGTTCTCAAAATTGGCATGTGGTTTTCACATTTTCTTCCTTCATTAGTCTAGCACTGATAGAAGCACACACTGTTTAGTAAACCACACTAGATTAGCCTTAAATGTCTGCTTAGTTTTCCCATGAGAAAGAAATGTATCCACCAATTTCTGCTCCACAGCTTGGAAAAGCTCCCAGTCTTTTCTCAGTGATTGTCAGTCCATTGGTCAGCTGTCTGAGATCAATGTCTCTAGACAGCCTTCGTCTAGACAAACAGCCCCGCTGTCCGCCATTTAGGGTCATCCACATCCAGCTCTCCAAGCACACTCTCTTAGTCTCAGTTAATGACATCGGTTTGTCCTTCCTCACTCAATGGCTGCCACTGCACCACAGAACCAGCGTGCACTTGATACGATGGTGTGTTTGAGGGTATGTATTTGTGTGTGTGTTGGTGCGTGCTACAGGTGGGAAGATTGGTCGACTAATTGATTAGTCAATCCACAAATGAATAATTAACTATTATGATCATCTATAATCAATCATTTTCATGCAAAGATGAAAATTAAAAGAAAGAAAATGCCCATATATCAAAAACTGAAAACGTAATTTTTACGTTTTCAGTTTTTGATATATGGGTATTTTCTTTCAGATATTTAAAAGCATCACCTTGAACTTGAAGGCCAAAAATAATTTGATTAATCTAGAAAATAATGTTCAGATGAATCAACAATACAAATTTTGTTTTAGGTGAGCTCAATAGTGTGTCACTGATTGCGGTACAAAGAAATGTGGATGTTTCCCGGATGATCGGATGTTGTGGTCTGTCTGTGTGTACATGTGTGTATCCTGTTGCAGCTGTGTGTGTATTTGATGATCCCTTTGGTACACTCCATTAACAGCTCGCCCGGCCCATCCCCCCACCCCTCTTGCATCCTGTCTCTATACTCATTCCCCTGCTCACCCCTGTGTTTGTTTCCACTCTTCCCCTTCATTGATGTAATCTGATCTCATCATCTGGATGGACATCTCTTGAAAGGCCACTTACTGTCACCATGGTAACGCACAGGGACACATGCCACCGTTACCTGGTCAAGCTTTTTGGACACTTGTGATCGCATACACACCCACTCTTCCAGATACAAACACATCCGCACCCATATACACACTTGCTCTTAAACACACACCGAACTGCAGGTTCAATTGTGACATACAGGAAAACTCAAAGATATTCAAAGGAACCGATGTGTGTATCAACATGCTGGTAACCCCGCTGGGAGCATTAACTGCACTTTCAGGACATTATTCTCCTCAACAAGGTGACACATTTAAGAGCATGCTTCCGTAACAATGTATTACATC